CCCAACCAACCCACCCAACCAACCCACCAACCCACCCGCCCACCCACAACAACCACAACAACCAAAAAAAAGAAACAACAGAAACGAAAACAAAAACACGCAGACAAACAAACAAGCAAACAAACAAACAAACCAACCAACCAACCAACCAACCAACTAACTAACACACAAACAAAGAAAAACAAACCAAACAAACAAACAAAACAAACAAAACAAACAAAACAAACAAACAAACAAGCAAGCAAACAAACAAACAACAAGCAAGAAACAACAACCAACAACCAGCAACCAAGAACCAAAAACCAAGAACCAACAACCAACGACCAAACAACCAACAACCAATCAAACAAGCAACCAAACAACCCAAGCCAACCAACCCAACCAAACCCGACCCGTTCCAACCCAACCAATCAACCAAAACAAACAAAAAAAAACAAAACAACCAAAACATACAACCCAACCAACCAACCAACCGACCGACCGACCGACCGACCAAACCGACCAAACCGACCAAACCAAACAAACCAACCAAACCAACCAAACGAACAAAACCAACCAACCAAAACAGCCAACCAACCCACCAACCAACCAACACAACCAACCAACCCAACAAACCCACCCAACCAACCCACCAACCCAACCAACCCAACCAACCCAACCAACCAACCCACCAACCCACCAACACAACCAACCGACCAACACAACCAACCCAACCAACCCAACCAACCCACCAACCCAACCAACCCACCAACCCACCAACCCACAAACCCACCAACCCACAAACCCACCAACCCACAAACCCAACCCACCAACTCACCACGCCACCGGGTGGCCTCAACTTACCACGCCACCCACCCACCCACCCACCCACCCACCCAAACAACAACAACAACCAACCAACCAACCAACCAACCAGCACCAACCGACCAAACCAAACCAAAACAAACCAAACCAAAACAAACCAAACCAAACCAAACCAAGCCAAACCAAACCAAACCAAGCAACCAACCAACAACCAACAACAAAAGACAAGCAACAACCAACCATCAACCATCAACAACAGTCAGCAATCAACAACAACCAACCATCATCCGCCAACAATCAACCATCAACCATCAACAATCAACAACCAACAATCAACAATCAACAATCAACGGTCAATCGTCAACAACCAACATTCAACAATCAACAACCAACAAACAACAATCAACAATCAACGATCAACAATCAACAAACAACAAACAACAAACAACAAACAACAAACAACAAACAACCAACAACCAACAACCAACAACCAACAACCAACAACAACAATCCACATTTTCAACAACAAAGCAACCCCAACACCAGACAACTAACAAAGCAAAAAAAAAAAAAAAAACAAATTAAACAACAACAACAACAGCAACAGCAGCAGCAGCAGCAACAGCAACCACCACCACCACCACCACCAACACCACCACCACCACCACCACCAACAACAACAACAACAACAACAACAACAACAACCGCCGACGACGACGACGACGAACACGACCACAACCACAACCACAACCACAACCACAACCACAACCACAACCACAACCACAATCACAACAACCACAACCACAACCACAACAACCACAACCACAACAACCACAACAACCACAACAACCACAACAACCAAAATAACCACAACAACCACAACAACCACTACACACGCAACGCCGACCACGATGTCCACGACGACCAGGACGACCACGACGACCACGAGACCACGACGTCCACGACGACCACGACGACCACGACGACCACGACCACGACAACCACGACGACCACGACGACGACGACGACGACCCACAGACCGACGACCACGACGTTCTTCGACGATCCACACGACCAGAAGCCAACGGACGACCACGGACACGACACACGACGACCAGGACGACCACGACCACGACGACCACGACGACCACGACGACGACGACCACCACCACGAGCACGACGACCACAACAACCACGACAACCACGACAACCACCACGACCACGACGACCACCATGCAGGACAACCACAGTGACAACCACGACGACAACCATAAGCACAACCACAAGCACAACGACAACACAACGACAACGACAATCACAACGACAACGAAAACGACATCGACAAGGACGACGACACCACCACAACCACCACAACCACCATCACCACAACCACCCTTCACCACCACAACCGTCGCATCCCTGCTTCCTCCCACCAACCTCCCTCTCGCGCCTCCTAACTCCTCCGCCATGCGCTTTCATCGAAATACCATGTCCTTTCCCCCCTCTCAGGCGTAAGCCCCAATATCCGGCAACCGGCCATGTACACGCGGAAGGCAGCAATCCCCGCAGGGGCTAGGAAACGGCGACCCACCCTTGCCGCTGGACCTCGTCATACCCTGTAATTTACAGGCGGCATAAGCCTATATTTTTTCCACAAGTAACAAGTATGGCATGCAACTGGCAATTCTACCCTATAGATTTCTTTCCCAGGCCTCACGCATGGAGCGTTGCTGGAGTTCCGTAGCTGCAATGCCCTGCATTGGCCAGGACAAAGTGTATGATCCTGTCTCGCCACTGCTCCATTTATCCATTGAATGGACATACTGGAAAATTGGGTTGGCCACCCCGAATTTATTGATTTTTCCCGAGGTCCCCCTTGCTATATGCAGAGCACAAATACCAGAGTAAAATTCCAGTGACAAAAACTGGAAAAAATCTTTCAGACGTCGAGGAGGCACCTCCAATCGGCGCTCAACTGCTGCCAGGTGGCGGCGGATCCGATCCACAGGCGCCTCACACACAGTGACGCTCTTCAACACGCTCTGAAAGTAAACCCAGAAGTCCAGGACTGATGGACGGCCCACACTGTTCTCACACATGTCTCTTGCTACGAAGCTGCTTGGCCACTGCTCCTTTTCATGCAAATATTTCAGAAAACCTCCTGGCACAAGGGTGTAACCTGAGGAGGCCCCAATCTCCTTGAATCTAGAAACGTGCAGAATCCAAGCGTTTGGATTTTTTCTGCGATTTAATTCTAATCACATGGCCGCCATGTCTCCATTATGATCGTTTAGGGTAGCTGCCATTGTCATTAATGAAGCCGGTGTCACTGGTGTCAGTAAGGAAAACCAGCCGCT